CACCCAAGATGGCAGCTCCGGGAGCACCTAAGTGTCTTGAATTAGAAAGCAATGGGTTTTTTGCTTCTGCTACAAGTTCCCCTAGCTGTAAGCCTTCCAACGTTCTAAATATTCCTTTATATGTGCTTCAGAGTTGTGGCACTGTCCCCTGAACCTGCTTGGTCCAGTATTCTGTGTTGCTGCTGACGGAGCTCCTCACTGCACTTCTACCTTCTCTGCCATCTTGTCCTGCAAATACCTTTTAAACAATATAAAAGGCGACTTATACACATGGACCTCACCAGATGGAATACACAGGAATCAAATTGACTACATCTGTGGGAAGAGATGATGGACAAGCTCAATATCATATGCCATAACAAGTCCAGGAGCTGACTGTAGTACAAACCATGAATTGCTCAGATGAAAGTTCAGGCTGAAGCTAAAGAAAATTATAACAAGTCCAAGGGAGCCAAAACCCGACCTTGAATATATCCCACCTGAGTTTAGAGATAATCTCAAGAACATATTGGATGCATTAGACATTAATGACTGAACACCAGAAGACTTGTAAGATAACTTCAAGAACATCATGAATAAAGCCATGGGTCATTAAAAAGACAGGAAAGAAAGAAAAAAAAAAAAACTCAAAATGGCAATTAGAAAAGATCTGAAACTTGCTCTTGAGTGTAGAGAAGCTAAAGCAAATGGCAGAAATGAGGAAGTAAAAGAACTTAACAGAAAAAATTCAAATGACTGCTTGAGAAGGTAAAGTCAAGTATTATAATGAAATGTGCAAAGACCTGGAGTTAGAAAAAGGGAAGAACACACTCAACATTTCTCAAGCTGAAAGAACTGAAGAAAAAAACTCAAACCTTGACTTGTAATATTGAAGGATTCGTAGCATATAATTAAGTGCTCATGATAAACTGACAGGAGAAATTCAAGGTACACTGAAGGTACTGGTGAAAAACAAGGCTCCAGGAATTGACAGAGTTCTCAACAAACTGATGTAGCACTGGAGGTAAACATTCATCTCTGCCAAGAAATTTGGAAGACAGTTACCTGGCCAACCAATTGGATGAGATCCATATTTGCACTCATTCTAAAGAGAGGTAACCTAACGGAATGTGCAAAGTATTGAACAGTATCATTAATATTGCATGCAAGTAAAATTTTGTTAAAGATAATACAAAGATGGTTGCAACCGTACATTGATAGAGAACGTCCAGAGTTTCAACAGATTCAGAAGAGGATGTGGAACTAGGGATAACATTGCTAATATCAGATCATCTTGACTGAAAGAGAATACCAGAAAGGGGTTGGTGTATTTTTGACAATACTAAAGTTTAGCATAGTCAAATGACACTGCAAAGAATGGATAATAATGCAAAGAATGGGTATTCTAGAATACTTATTTGTGCTCATGAGGAAACCTGTACATAGATCAATACACAGTTGTTTGAACAGAATGAATACTGACTGGTTTAAAATCGGGAAAGATGTGTGCCATGGTTGTATCCTTTCACTAAACATATTCAGTTGTGTGCTGGGCAAATACTCTGAGAAACTAGATTGTATGAAGAAGAATGTAGCATCAGGATTGGAGGAAGACTCATTAACAATCTGTGATATGCAGATTATACAATCTTGTTTGCTGGAAGCAGAGAGGATTCAAAATACTTAAGATGAAGTATGGATTGCACATCAATGTAAAGAAAACAAAAGTCTTCACTGCTAGGCCAATAAATAAGAGAAAAGATTGTGAAGTTGTCAAAGACTTCCTTTTGCTTGGATCCACAGTCAACATTCACCGAAGCAGCAGTCAAGAAATCAAATGATGTATTAGGCAAATCTGGTACAAAAGTCTTCTTTAAGGTGTTCAAGGACAAAGATACCAGTTCAAGGACTAAGTTATACCTTACCCAAGCCATGGTATTTTCAGTTGCCTCATATGATATGAAAGTTGGACCATGAATAAGGAAAACCATAAAGCATTGATGTATTTTGAATTATGGTATGGGAGAGAAGAATACTAAAAGTACCATAGACTGCCAAAAGAACAAACAAATCTGTGTTGGAAGAAGTGCAGCC